AATGATGCCCAGTAACTATTCCATTTTTATTGTTGTTGGTGGTGTTAATTGTCACTGGTGGATATTTTTTCCATTGAGTTTAGAAAGAGTGAAAGGAAGGGGGAGGTAGAGAGAAGAGAGAGAGAGAAACATCAATGTGAGAGAGCCACATCAATTGATTGCCTCTTGCACATTACCCAACAGAGATAGAGAACCTGTAGCCCAGGAATGACGTGCCCTTGACTGGAATTGAACCTGGGAACCTTCAGTTTGCAGGCTGACACTCTAATCACTGAGCAAAGCCTGCCAGGGCTGTTCCATTTTTTATAAGACAGTTTTGTGATTATGCATGCACTAGAGACCTGGTGCATGAATTCATGCATAGGTGGGGTTCCTCGGCCTGGCCAGTAATTGGGGCCAACCAGGGTAATGGGAGGTTCACCAGTAGGGGAGATCATGGGAGGTTGGCTGTAGGAGCGCACTGACCACCAGGGGACAGCTTCTGCATTGAGTGTCTGCCCCTGGTGGTCAGTGCACATCATGGTGATTGGCTTTTCAGTCATTTGGTCGCTTAGGCTTTTATATATACAAATTAGAGGCTCAATGCATGAAGATTTGTGTAAGAATGGGCCTTTCTTTCCCTGGCTGCTGGCACTGCCTTTGTTCTGGCAGGTTCCACTTTTTGTTCTGGCCCCGAAGCCACCTTTCCACCTTCCCACACTGCCCAGAGGCCCAGAGAGGCTGGGGTGGTGTGGAATGCCTGAATTGTTGCCATGGTGATGATGCAAGCATCCCACCCCGCCCCTGGCTGCTCCATCGCTTGCACATGCAAATTAACCCATCTTCTTTGTTGGGTTAATTTGCATACTCACTCCTGATTGGCTGGTGGGTGTCATGAAGGTATGGCCAATTAGCATGTTACTCTTTTATTAGTATAGATGGCCTGAAAATACTATGAGGATCAATTTGTAAGTTTCTCCCAATATTTCTATCTATTTTTGCTTTTTATTTGTTGGAGATATATTATTAGATATATGCCAGTTACAAATTGCTAGATCTCTCTGGTGACCATTTACCACTTTTATTTTCCTCTTTTATTGCTTCTCTTACATTTTGAATTACTTTCTATTTTGTCTAATATTTCATTCATATTTATCTGGGAAATATTTTCCTTTCTTTTACTATCATATTTCTCAATATTTATATTTTTGGTTTAAGTATGTATCTTGAAGGAGTATCTAGCTGAGACTTAAAAAATTTATTCCAACGCCCCCTTTTTTTTTTACTCCATTTATTTAGAATATAATTATGGACATTTTGAAATTTATTTTTTGTGTGTATATTTAAAAATTTCACCATTTCTTTTCTTTGTGTTTTTTTTTAAAGTTGTTTCTCTTTTTTTTCATCAGATTGCTCAGACTTTTCTTATTCTATTTTTTCTGCTAAATTGGAAGTTATATATTCTGCTAGATTAGAATTTATGTTTTCTATTTCCGTTTTTAATTAATCTAGAATTTTTAAAAATATATTTTTATTTATTTCATAGAGGAAGGGAGAGGGAGAGATAGAAACATCAATGATGAGAATCATTGATCTGCTGCCCTCTGCATGCCCCCTAGTGGGCATTCAGCCCACAATTAGGGCATGTGCCCTTGACCAGAATCCAACCAGAGACTCTTCAGTCTACAGGCTGATGCTCTATCCCTGAGCCAAATCAGTTAGGGCCACAGTTTGCTGAGCACTGAGTTAAGGCATTTAATATGCCTATTTAATTAAACTTAAAACTCTCGAAAGCATTGGAAGGATTGTAGGATGCTACATTTGATTTTTTCCATTAACTTCCATGCTCTTGTTGCTCAGGATTTTCTCCCTATCTTGCTTGTTTTAATGCAATGATGTAGATATTTTTGTTTTACTTTCATATTGTTTTGACTTATTCACAACTGTAACCATTTCCTTGCTCATTGTTCTTGTGGACGAAAAGTGGCCACAGACTAAACCTGACAAGCTCAGGGGAGGCCTGCTTGGTGGCTTTTATAAACTCAGAGACGTAAATAACTGCAGAGGATGATCTGAAATGAAATCTTACTAATTATAAGCAGTTTATGGCAGGCAGTCATGCCTTACGCTAGAATCTTCCCTGACAAAAGTCAGTCTCTACCTTAGGTAAGCCTGTCTTTTTGCATCTATGATACCATACCTTTGGAATGTCAAAGTAAGTTCCTTTTTCTGGATCCCTCAAGCACAAATACCATACCAGATTGGGAGACCACAAATTCCCTCGTTGTTATTGAGTTACTGTTGACTAATTATCCTGTACCATCTTATGTGAAAGAACTTTATGTCTATTATTTTACTTTTTATCCAGCCTCAGAAGTTCTGTCTTCCCCCATTTTCTTTGCTTTCTCCTACCTCCCTTATCTATCACCAATGGATTTCGTGTAACCCACTTACATCCTCTCTTTTGATTATATCGATAATATATAAAGAAGGGTGCAGAACTGCCATTTTTTTTTTTCTGGAGCATATTCTCTATCCTTTGAGCTTTTGGTTCCTGGCAATAGTCAGTTTGGCTCAAATAAACCCACAAACATTTTCTACATGTTTGAATATTTCTTACATTGACATACTTCTTGCATTTCAGATATTCCTCCACTGCTATCTGTCAATGTAATCACTATTCTTGTGTCAGTGATCTGTTTTTCTTTCTATTTTTCAGACCTGCTGCTTGTCTTTTGGTTTTTGATAGTTTCACTGTGATGTATATAGGTGCTGATTTCATTCTAGCTGGCTTGGAATTTTTGTTCTTTCTGAACCTGGGTATTGGTCGTTCATTAATTATGGGAAACATTTTTAATTCATCGAATATTGCTTCTTCTCATTCTCTCATTCTGGACCTCCAAATGTGTGTGTGTGCGTGTGTGTGTGTATGTGTGTGTGTGTTCCACAACCTGTACTTGCAGACACAGGGGAAAGCCTGGAGACTGAAAACAGACCTCTGAAAACAGAGAGCTGGGAAAGATTGGAGAAAGAGGCGGCCCCTTCAGTCTGGCAATGAACAGAGTTCATTAAAGGAAACACATCCAAAGTGCATCTTGAGCAGCTGCAAGACAACGTGGGCTATTTGACAGGCACCAAAGAGTTCCATGCAACAGGGCAAGATGGATAGGGTTTTGCGGTGTGACCTGTCCTAGGTATGGGAAAATGCCTGAAATGCTCGCCCCTGAAAGAAACCAGCACAGCTTGGGGCCCCAGGGAGAGCTTCTGGCTTACGTCAGAAGGAAAGCATCCATCACCATCAGACAGTCTTGGAGGATTTCCAGGAGCACTCTGTCTGGCCTGGGTCTCGCTGGAGGGCCTGGCTGAGTCACATCATGGAGCTCTCTCCTTCACATTAAATCTTGCAACCTGTTTTTCAAATGTCATATCCTTTTGACTCTGAGCTATAATTTGTATTTATTGGCGAAATTTGATTAGTTCGTAGCTATTACTGATACGATGCTTGGCTATGTCCCTTGATCTTATTTTACATTTTTCAACTTACCATCCTTGCTTGCTCCTTTTCTCATCCCACCCTTTCCAGCTTTATAAAAAATTGGTTAACATTTGTTCCATTTCCCTCACAAATGGTTTTGAAGTTACACTCTATTTTTGGCTTTCTAAAAATTATTCATACGTTTTAAACGTATATAGCATATGTTTCTATAAATATCTGGTTCCAAGTAGCTTATATCACACCCCATCCAGACACAAACCTTCACATGGTTTTACTTTTTGTAGACGGCTGCCTGGGAAGACACATAGGCATTTTTCTTAATTATTGTCAGCTGAACTCAAGGCCTACGCAAAGCCATGCCTTGGGAACATGTTCCCCAAGATGGGCAACATGTTGTCAGCTAGGCCTTCATATCAGCTCAGGTGTCGGCAGGGGCGGGACTAGATATGTAAATCCAGGCATGCTAGGGCCTACTTAAGAATGCAAATAAGTTGATGATAACTACCTGGTATTGGGAGTATAAATTAAATGCGCTGAGAGGGGTTGTCTTCTTCCTGCCTCTCCTGCAGACAGAATGGTGGCCCACCCAGCTCCCAGCCTTAAATCTATTTCTGTGTCTTCTCTCTTTATTTCTATTATTTCTCAATCCCTGGCCACCTCCACTTAGAACCGATTCCTTAATCTCTTTTTCCATGCAGGACTCAGAAAAGGGAGATCCCAGCCATGTCTGGCCCCTGCCGCAACTTTTCTCTCCCCTCACTTCTTCCTGACTCCAAACCGAACACCTGGTGTTTCCCCAGAGCATCTTTCTGCTGCTCACATCTGGCTTCCCCAAGTCACGTTCAACTTTTGTATGTGTTTTGGGCTGTAATTTCTTCCTTTAATTCCACCTTGTTTGCCTCTCATCTGGCAGAAATCATCCTTAGGATTTCTCTTCAACCAAGGTATTATGGATGTTACCCAAAAGTCATATGTTGAAATCCTAAATGAGAGAGAGAGAGAGAGAGAGAGAGAGAGAGAGAGAGAGAGAGAGAGAGAGAGAGAGGAGAATGCACACATTAGGGAACATCGGTGTGGGGCCTATAGGAGGCGATTAGATCCTGAGAGTGGAGTACCCTGAATGGGATTAGTGCCCTTATAAAAGAGGTCTCTCACTCTGTCTGCCACACGAGGACAGAATGAGAAAACTGCTGTCTATGCACTGGAAAGTAAGCCCTCTCCAGACACTGAAGCTGCCAGAGCCTTGATCATGGGCTTTCTAGCCACCAAAGCTTTGAGAAATAAATTTCTGTGTTTCAGCTGTCCAGTTTCATGGTATTAAAAAAAAAATTATGCCAAACTAAAATACAAGGGCTTTATCTTTCCTCAACTTTCCAGATTTTATTTTATTTATTTTTTTTCAGAAAACTTTTGCAAGTTGTTTTATTTACAACGCCAACTTTCAAAAAGTCACTAAAGTTAATTAGACAATAAACAAGGCAGAAATCGCTTTGCAAAAAGAGGGAAAGCCCAAAATGCCACTTTCTATAGAGAACCCACAATTCAGTTTTATTCAGAGCAAAGAAAAAAGATACTTTTGATCATACTGGAAGAAACTCAGCCACAGGTTTGGTATCTGTACCCAAACTACACATGCAATGAAGACAATATTCTGCTAATACAATTGATTTGCTGCTGCATTTGTCTACTGTTTGCCTAATATTAACAATTATAAACAGAGCAGTGCAACTAGTATTTGGAACAATCCTTACAGTGTTACAGTGTCAGGCACAACTTTTCACTCCTCTTCACACCACTGGTTCTCTTTGCGTACCTGGGCTTCCTCTTCTTCAGTAAAGTCATTTTTTATATTGAAGGTCTTGCGAATCTCTTCAGGGGTTTTCCCCTTGATCATATTGGCAACAGTCTTGCATGTAACATCAAGCAAACCTTTGATGTCTAAATTGTTTGCAGCCAGAATTAGTTCAAATAGTGTTCCTTGGTCAACTTTGAGAAATTCTTGGTCCCAAACAGGAATATCGTCTGTCCGCTTTTCTTTGTTCTCATCATCCTCAGGAGGAGGAGGGTCATCCTTGTGGTGGGTGCACCACTGAATGACCTTTTTTAATATTGCTGCATTAACATTTGGTAGAGGAACTGGGTCATCATCGCCTTCATCATCCATTCCCAAATCTTCTAACATAGTCTTGATAGTCACAGATTGTTTGGCAATTTCAACATCAACTTCAAATATCTCTCCATCAGAACTCTGCAATTTAATTGAAGGCATGGTGCTCGGTCTCCAGGAGAGAACGGGCCGGAGGCTGACGAGAGCGGAGCAGCGTCAGCAGAAGCAGACGAAAAAGGTGGAGAACAAGGCCTCTTACCAACTTTCCAGATTTTAAAATAAAAATTTTTAGTTATGTCATATACCCATTCCACCATCTTGACTGAGTCTCTCATTTAGAATAGTTCTCTCATTGCCCTTGAGTCCATGACTGCTAATCAATCACGGTTGATAAGTTCACTAAAAAGACCAAGAAGTGACAAAGACTGTTCCAAGGAACCTTGTTATTCAGGAAATGTTCCTGGACTTCTCTTGATTTTGACATGGTTGCAAGGAATGTGTTGTGTTCTTCTAGTTGGCATGTCCTGTAGATCAGCGGTCGCCAACCGGTGGTCCGCGGACCACTGGTGAACTGTGATCTCTGAAAGGTTGGTGATCGCTGTTGTAGATTACAAACATTAAATTCTTCAGATGACAGGAAGGTAGAATTCATCACCAGGTGGCAGTGTTGGCCAGCTTTAAAATTTCTCAAATTCAGTGATGTAAGAAATTTGATTACTAATATTAGATTTGTTTTGCTATCACTCATCTTTCCAGTCACTACTTATTGAGCTCCTGCTCAATCAATATACAGCCTCTTGGATCCTCACACGGTATTTTTTGGAAGCCCTGTTTAATCTCTCCTGGCCTCAGAGAAAGCAATGTCCCTCCAGGCACTCAGCACATGTCTGTGTTCTGACCCCTTTCCTGTCATAGACCGAAAGGTCCCAAAGGTTGGAGATGGCTCTGTAGATTACAAACATTAAATTCCTCAGATGATAGGAAGGCAGAATTCACCACCAGGTGGCAGTGTTGTCCATGGTCCCTGTCTCAAAGTCATGCCCATATCATAAACTCTCCCTCATGAGTTGACTGAGCTGAGAGGCTGGGAAGCCCATGGTTCCTAAGGCCACAGGCAGCAATGGTGACAGTGGGGTCAGGAAAAAGGGGCCCAACAGCTCAGACCTGCCCAACAGCTGCTCCCTAGTTCCCTTCCTTCACCTCACAGCCTCTTATGGAGGAACCAAGCAACCCGGGTGATCACTGCCAAGCAAGCATCTGAGCAAGGATATTCATTGGACTGAGACCTCGAAGAGGTGGGGGCAGACTGCTGGTGGGCACTGGGACATTGGCTCAGAGTGTGTGGACTGTATAGGCTTCTACCAGATGATGAACCCATTGGATGGACCATGAGGGCAAGTGGCCTTTTTGGCACGTGTTGGAAATCCACATACTTTTCAAGACGATTCTGTCGACTTGCTTCTCTGAGTAGGGCTGAACTTGGCCATCCCATCCCATTTGCCCTTTGGTGTATAGGCATCCTCCTCTCACCTCCCCACTGTGACTCCTCATTCAAACTCAAGTTAAAGGACACTCCAGGACCTAGCTGAGAGCACCTTTCCTAGCTGCCCACCCCTTAATTTTTCTCATTTTATGCAAGTCAAAATACAAAGCTTTCAAGCCAGAGCTGTATGACATTCTTGGGAGCACGGGACCAGAATTCCGTCAAACTGTTGATTCTTGGTTGCATTGAAGTCAGTTCTAGTTGGTCCAGCTTTAAAAGAAAACCACAGAGAGTATTCCTGACTGCATCACTTGGGTGTGAGCTTGGGCCCAAAAGTCTTGTTGATCTGGGGGACTGCACCCATCCAGGTGGGGTGGGGCAGTCTACTGAATTGGAAACAAAGAAAGGCAAGGAATGGGGGAGGGGGTTGGGCTTGAGCTCTCCAAAGCTGAAGTGAAACATTCCTCAAACACACCCATGGAGCCCTCACACTGGCATTAGCTGTAACCTAGGGAAACAGAAGGAACTTGAGTATTTAGTTTGACATATCCTTATTGGTATGAATGCACCACTCCAAATTTTAGAGCTAAAGGATTCAGAATCTGGCTCACATTTGTTCATGTTGTTCATTATACAGATGAGAAAACCGAGGCTTAGAGATATTGAGGGACTTACCCTGTGGTGGGCTGGGTCAGAATCGAGAGTCTAGTCCAGGTCACCTGGCTCACTGTTCAGCACTCTGTCCACTCAGCTTTCTCAGGTTATAAAGTCAGGGTTTGATCCACGTGTGATGGTGGCCACTTATATCAGGCTTACCGTATTTTCCGGCGTATAAGACGACTTTTGAAACAAAAAAAAGTCAACCGAAAAATCGGGGGTCGTCTTATACGCCGAGTATATCCCGAAAAAACGTCTCGATATGCCGCTAAATGAATTTTCCAACTCGATTCCACACCAATCACTGCAAGGCTGCTCAGACCGCCTCTCTAACTCAGCCAATCCAAGCAGGCTTTTTATGCATGCAAATTATACATGTTCTGTACCCGAAGCTACACTTTATTCTAGTAAAAAGCCTGCTCAGATTGGCCAGAGTCAGAGTCAGAGTCTATTGAAAAAAGAACTGGTGTTGCCTCGGAAGTGGGGGGTAGTCTTATACAGCGAATATAGGCCTAAACCTATGTTTTAACTGTAAAATTAGGGGGTCATCTTATACGCCGGAAAACAGGGTAGGATAACTTGTGTCTGTGTGATCATCACTAATAATGCCAGCCTGGCCTCAAGTGAGAGCAGGAATAGGAGGTGTTGTCTCCCCAGAAGGGTGTCTACTAGGAGACCAAGAAGAGGGGATGTGGGCTGGGAGTCCTGGTTCCCCTTGGCCCTGTGCACCTGGCAGTTAGGAGACTGGGTTCTTCCAGGTGTCAGTGATTAGCAGTCACAGGAGACGCTGTTGTCTCTCTGATCATTCTCTTGGCCACTATTGGCTAAGGGCATTTCATGGAGGCCACAAGCGAATTCAAAAGTGGAAGCAATTTAAGAGTTTACAGGATTTGGTTTGATGGAATTTAATTAGTGTGTTGCTAGAGCTAACAGGGAATGGACCCTGCCATGAGGTCTGGCTGCTCCACAGTCTCACTGCCCTCAGATGGGGGTCCCCCAGCTCCAGGGACCCTCTGAGAACACCCAGCTGCCAGTCTGGCACCACCTGGTGTTGGTCCTGCTTTTCACCTCTTGTGTCCTGTGCCTGCTCTTTGGTGGTGAACCTACTCATCCTGGAGTTGCTATGCATTGTGGGGTAAGCCCCACAAAGATGGAGTGTGCAACTTACAAGACAGAGACAAAGGTTTTGCTGCAGCTCACCGCCCCCTCCTCCCGCGCCCCCCCCCCCCATCCCAATGAAGCAGATTACTTAGCCTCCCACATGTCATTGCAACCACTGAGTTCATGGAACATCAGGAAATGGGAACTGGAAGGGAAGGTGAGCCCTTCCCTCTCAAGGGACCACTCCCATACTCCCAGCCAATTGGGTTCTCTTCTTCCTCCAAATCCTTTCAAGGTTCTACTTGTGGATTTTTTTGTTTTGGATTTGCTTTGAATCTCTCTTATTTGAGCTGGTATGTGTCTCTCTGTTCCTCCCCACACTCCTCCCCCAATCATCGTCTTGAGTTCAAGGGCAGTGTTGGGTTCATTCTTGTTGAGCTGACAGCCCCCTGTGGGCTGCGCACACAGAATGGGCTCCACAGGTACTACCGTGTTTCCCCGAAAATAAGACATCCCCTGAAAATAAGACCTAGCGCAACTTTGGGAGAAAAAATATTAATATAAGACACTGTCTTATTTTTGGGGAAACAGGGTATTTGTGTGTCCTTGCAAAGAAGAGATGGAGGAATGAGGAAAAGGAAAAATACAGGGAAGAAGAAGCAGAGTGCTTTATAGGTGCATTGAAGGCACCAGACTACAGTGAACAGATTTGGTGACTTGATGTTAGGTCTTGCTGACTGGGGGCAGGTGGGTCTCCCAGGGGATCTGTTAAAGCAGACTGGCATCCAAGTGCTGCAACTCTCTAAGTAAAATTGGTTGTAGGTCCTATGAAGACAAATGGCAAAAGCTGCTACAACTAGAAGTTTTGGCCCTGGCTGGCCTGGCTCCAAGGTTAAAGCATCAGCCCATGCACCAAAGGTTTGTGGACTCGATTAGTAGTCAAGGGCTTGTACCTGGGTCTCAGGTTTGATCCCAGCCCCAGTCAGGACTGGCCCAGGAGACAACCAATTGATGTGTCCCTCTCACATTGATGTTCCTCCCTCTCTTCTTTCCACTCTCTCTAAAAATCAATGGCAAAGATATCCTCAGTGATGATTAACAAAAAACAAATGAACAAAATAAACTAGAAGCTGTGGAGGCAGAAAGCTAAGGCCCTACCACTTGCTAGCTGTGTGGCCTTGAGCATCTAACCTCTCTGTGCTTGTTTTCTTACATGTAAAGTGATGATCAAAGCATCTATCTTTAAGGATTGTAAGGGTCAGCAACTGTGGCTGTACCACCTTCTCCAGTTAAATCTCAGGTCTGAGACATAAGGTTCCTTCAGGTCTGAGATATAAGGTTCCTACAGAAACCCTCCCCAGTCCTTCCTGACTCTACAGCTTTCAGGACTGGAGGGCCCTGCTCACATTAAGGTTGAGGGGGGCTTCCTGGGAAGGAAATGTTGATCAGTGTGGCTTGGGTAACCTCTGTTCTCCCAGAACTATCCAGACCCCACAGGACACAGCTGTGTGGACATGGCTAGGGCAGGGGTGGGTGGCTCCAGCTTGTTCTAGCTCAGAGAGATCTCCTTCCAGGACACAGCAGGGACAGTCTTGGCCTCAGAGGCTGTGATGCTCACGAGGAAATCGAATAACTCGGGCCGTGGGAAGTACAATTCTGTGCCACCTGATGGGTTCTGAGGTGTTTTATGTACATATAGTGACTTCTTTTCTTTCTTTCTTTCTTTTCTTTTTTTTTTTAAAGTTCATCAATTATTATTTTTATATGTTTTATTGATTTTTTTTACAGAGAAGAAGGGAGGTTAGAGAGTTAGAAACATCGATGAGAGAGAAACATTGATCAGTTGCCTCCTACACAGTCCCCACTGGGAATGTGCCCACCACCAAGGTACGTGCCCTTGACTGGAATCAAACCTGGGACCCTTGAGTCCACAGGCGATGCTCTATCCACTGAGCCAAAGCGGTTTCGGCTATAGTGGCTTCTTTATCCAACCTGAAGGAAATGGGAACTGTGCACTTCTTTAC